TAATTATTATGTCTTTCTTTAAATGTAAAAGTTATTTTTTAAAAGAATTAATGATATTATGTTTGTATCATTGCAATAGTGTGTTTTATATCTAAATTTGTTATAATTAAAGAAATGTATTTTGATAAAATTTTGGTTGTTGATTAGATTGTTTGATGGTCCTTTTGACATTATTGATAACATTTTTAGTCGTGGATACCGCATAGGCGAATAACCTCGACCTCCCACACCCAATGATTCTTTCGATCCGATAGACCAACCAAGTGATTGATGCCAAATAAGTTTGACCATTGTTCGAGCCCAACACTGCTCTCGGACTTCGATGCAAGGAAAAAAAATCAAAGACCATTTTTCGAGCCCAACACTGCTCTTGGACTTCGATGCAAGGAAAAAAAAAATCAAAATATCAGACGAAACAAAATATTGGCCAATCGATCTTTAACCAAATCAAATTAAAAAACCATTGGGAGCAGATATTTGAAACTCGTATAGCAATTTGGGGAATTGAAAAACATGAAAGTGAAAAAGGTTGTAGGTCATCTCAAGACCCATGAAGAGAGACTTTGAGGGTATAGAGAACGAGAAGAATGACATTCTCTATTGCTCATACATATCGACTGGGAATCTCGATCTAAGCCAAGTCGATGGAGACTTGCCAACCACATCAAGGCTAAGTGGAGGATATGGTAGCTCAGGATGAAGTTGTGAAGTTGGCCGAGGAGGTGGCCATGAGTTTAATACAACTCGGAACTACCACAATTATTTACAAATAGATAAAAAGGTAAAATAAAATGTTTTACTTGTGAAAAATTTGGTCATTATGTTTTAAGACTGTCCAAACAAGAATTGACATGAGGAAGTGAACATCACTCAAACCAATAACAAAGAAGAGCATGTATTGATGATGACAATCCACAACAATATACACTCTATAAGGTGTCGCTAGAAGAGAAGAGTTATGTTAGGCTTCTTGCATCGGGAGAAGGTGGAGTTGAGTTTTAGGTATTGTATCTCGACAACGGTGCTAGCAACCACTGCACAAATAAAAAAAAAAAAAAATCAAACTTTCATCATGACACACTCGGTTTGGAGATGGTTCGAAGATCGACACGAAAGGAAAATGTCTAATCTCTACACTGTTTGCACCAAGGAAGGATTCAAAGGATTGGAGATTAATTATATTGGGGGCCTGTGGGTTTGGATTGAGTTCAAGTCCCAACGTGCATGTCAAAAGTTCGTCCAATATGGAGGGTACTAAACGTGATTTGTCTAAATATATTAATAGAATGGGTGTGCAGAAAGGTGATCCATGAATATCTTGTCTTTAAATGTTTGTGGTGTAGGGATCGCAGAGAAGAGGAGGTAAATCAAGCAATTATGTATTAGGAATAGGGTTACTTTTTTGGGTCTTCAAGAAACAAGGATGGTAAATGTTGATTTGTTTAAAATTAAAAGTATGTGGGGTAATTATAATTTTGATTTTGCGACCAGTAATTCTCGAGGTCAGGGGGAATATTATCTATTTGGGATCCGGCTGTTTTTCAAAAACATTCGGTTTCTAGTTTGGAAAATTGCTTGTTGGTGGAAGGTGAATGGGTGTTTAATAAATTGAAGTGTTATATGGTTAATGTGTATGCATCACAAGATGATAGGAAAAAAAAAGAGTTATGGGACCATTTATTGAGAATTATGAATATGAAACCGGGATTTTATGTTGTTTTTGGCGACTTCAATGTGGTACGGTTTACATCGGAACGACTTGGTTGAGTTGGTTCTCAGTTTTCTTAATTAACAGCCACAAACTTTAGTAATTTTATTAATGATGCCGGTCTTTTTGATATTCCAATGGGTGGTTATAATTTTACGCGGGTTAGTAAAAATGGCAAAAAATTAAGCAAATTAGACCGCTTTCTCGAGTTCATTGATATTGTTCCGAATCTTATTGTTACAGCTTTGCAAAAGACGATATCGGATCATCGGCCTATTTTATTGAGGCAAGAAGGGATAGATTATGGCCCTATTCCTTTCAAGATGTTCAACTCTTGGATGGAATGGGAGGATTTTAATAGCATTGTTTCTAATTGTTGGGGTTCTCGTAATAGCAATTCCACTGAAAACCCACATATTACTTTCAAGAATAAGTTAAAAAAATTAAAGAATGTTTTGAAAGTTACTCATGGTGACAGGAGACGTGGCCTTTTGGATCAAAAGCAACATTTGGAAAATCAATTGGAAAGAATTGATAAAATTATAGATGGAGGTGGGACCACTGAATCTTTAATTTTCGAGAGAAGAGAGATTGTACAGCAAATGTTAGAGTTGGAAAAAATTGATGCGTCTGATCTACTTCAAAAAATTAAATGGGGAGCTCAAGGTGACGACAACACTAAATTTTTCCATACCATGTTAAAGAGGAAAAGAAGAATTTTAGTGATAAATGGTATTAAGCTTGATGCGGATTGGATAACGGATCCGGTGGCAGTTAAAGAGATATTTTTTGAGTTTTATAAAGCGAAGTTCCAAAAGTTTGAAGGGGTGCCGATTTTAAGACGAAGTCAGAGATTCAAGTCTCTTGATTCAGCTTAGGTGGAGACATTGGAAGCGAGATTCACGATGGATGAGATAAAAGATGCTGTTTGGTCGTGTGGTGGGGAAAAATCTCCGGGACCTAACGGTTTCACTTTCACGTTTGTAAAGAAGAATTGGGAGTGTGTCAAGTATGATGTGATGGCGATTATGAATGATTTTTTTTGACAAGGCTCATATTCCTTTTGGGTGTAACTCTTCGTTCATCACACTTATCCCTAAGGTGGATAGTCCTATGTTGGTTACAGACTATCGACCTATTAGTCTCATTGGCATGCAATATAAAATTATCGCTAAGGTTCTTGCAAGCCGGCTTGCTTTGGTTATCGATTCAGTGATTAGTTTTGAACAATCCGCTTTTGTCAAAGGTCGTCAAATCCTTGACGGGCCGTTAATGGTGAATGAGGTGATAGGGTGGTATAAGAAGAAAAGAAGAAATTATTAATTTTCAAGATTGACTTTGAAAAAGCCTATGACTCTTTATGTTGGGATTACTTGTATCAAATTGTTACAATTCATGGGTTTTGGTGTTAGATGGAAGGGGTGGATCCGAGCTTGTCTTTATTCGGCAAAAGCATCTGTGCTGGTTAATGGAAGCCCTTCTAAAGAGTTCCAATTAGAAAAGAGTCTTAGACAAGGAGATCCTCTTTCTCCTTTTTCATTTATCATTGCCATGGAAGGATTACATGTTGCTTTGGAAGATGCAAAAGCTGAAGGTTTTTTGCACGGCGTTGCGGTGGGCTCTGATAATTTTATTATTTCTCATCTTTTCTATGCAGACGATGTATTGTTGTTGGGAAAGTGGGATAAGATGAATTTGGAAAACATGGTAATGGTGTTGGATTGTTTCTTCATGGTTTCGGGTTTGAAGGTGAACCTTCATAAATCCAATTTGTATGGTGTAGGGGTTATTTATAACCAAGTAGAGGAGATGTGCTCCTGGGAAATTGCCTTTTAAATATTTGGGCCTTCCAGTGGCAGAAAATACATCTAGAGTTCGGAGTTGGCAAAGAATCATTGATCGCTATAAAAAGAAGTTAGCCTCGTGGAAACTGAAAATGTTGTCTATAGGTGGGCGTTCCATGCTTCTTTCCTCCGTTCTTGGGTCGTTGGGATTATACTTCATGTCTATGTTTCTGATGCCGATTCAAGTCAAGAAGATGTTGGAATCTCTCAGAGCCTAGTTTTTTTGGGGAGCTGAAGAGGGTTCTAGAAAGATTCATTGGGTTGCTTGGGATTTAGTTATTGCTCCTAAGGACCAAGGTGGGGTTGGAATCCGTAGTTTGGAGTGTTTTAACTATGCACTCCTTCAGAAGTGGAGATGGCGTTTTCTCACTAAATCGAATTCCTTGTGGCGTAAGGTTATTATTGCACTTCATGGTAATTGTTCTCATCCTCATTTTGGTAGGTCTAGTCCTGGAAATGGCGTGTGTGGTCGTATTATGAAATCTTGGGATATAATGAACGATAAAGGCGTAATTCCTTATTCTACGGCTCTCAGAAAGATTGGACATGGAAATTCTAATGCTTTTTGGAAGGATTATTGGTGTGGAGGCATCCCTTTGGCTCTTCGGTTTGAAGTGTTGTTTCGCCTTGACCTTAACCAACATTTTTTGGTTAGTGAGAGATGTCATGATGGTTTCTGTGTTTGGAATTGGAGTCGAGATCTTCATGAAGGTGTGGAACTTTCTCAATTTCAAGATCTTCGAGTTTTAGTGGAAGGTAGACGGCAAAGTATGGAGGAAGATAAATGGTGGTGGGATTTTGATGATGACGGTAATTTCTCAGTGAAATCTACTCAGAGATGTATTGAGCAAATGTTGTTACCATATGTGGATTGCAATATGATTTGGAATGTTTTTCTACCTAGGAAGGTATATATATTTATATGGCGCCTTTTATATGATCGTCTCCCTTTGAGGACGAATTTGGTTACTAAAGGTATTGATGTCCCATCGATTTTATGCCTTCTTTGTTGTTCCAATGTTGAAAACTTGAATCACTTGTTTGGGGAATGTGAAATTGCAGCGCGTATATGGGCTTCTGTTTCTCAATGGGTGGAAATGCAAGTTCCATTTCATTTGCCTCTTTCGAGTTTACTTTCTTGGCCAGAATCTTTGATAATTACTAAAATAAAAAAAGAAATCCTTCAGAGTGATTGTGCAGACTATTTTGTGGGTTCTCTGGAAGTATAAAAACAATGTGCTATTTGGGAATAATGACAAAGGGAATGAGCTGATTTTTGATATGGTGGTAGATTATTCTTTTTTGTGGTTTTTTAGTAGGAATATAAAAGCTTTTATGTCTTGGTCTAAATGGTTATAGATCCCTTTAATTTCTATGTAATTGTTTTTTCTCTAGCTCCTTGCTAGTTGTTTTTAATAAAAATTAAGCTGTTCTAAAAAAAAACCATTCGTTACCTAAAAAAATAAATAAGCATACATTTATTTTAATCATATCATGATATCTAATAAAATTGATCAGTTACATATTAACACATGTAACTAATCGGCAATTCAAGTTACATATAAAAATATATGTTACTCTTAGTTACATGTTACCATATGTAAATAATTTGTTACATATATTAATAACCAACCATTATACATTTGGTTTGTTTCCTCTATAACTTAACTTGTAGTTTCGGAATGTCCATTGGTATCATTATTATCCGACTCCCAAAACTTGGCCTTTTTTATATCATCTTCAACCATCAATTTAGAAAACTCTTCATGGTCATAATTTAAATTGAAGTTAGCTTTTCCCCCAAACTCACGTGGAAGATTATCGGTATCAAAATACGACTTCATAATCTCGATACTTTCTTTGTCGTTTGGATAAACAAATTTTATCTTCAAATATGTTTTCGGGTCTATGAAGTAACTTATTACCTGAATACAAGATTTGAGTTAATATATCTTACTTTTTGTTACATTTAGTAACACAAAGTTACCCATTTTACCATGAAATCGGCTTTTATGTCTACGTGGTAAATTTGATCACAATATGTCCATGTGGCGCTGAAAATCACATGATGTTGATCTAAAATATTAAAGTTAAATAAAATGTCTAAATGGACGTCATGTCAACACCATACGGACATATTATGATCAAAACTTGCATATGTGATGACATCATGACACATAGACATGAAAACCAGTTTCATATGTTATAACATGTTACATGGTCAAATGAGACAATTTTTTTTTTGTTTTGTGACATTGGCATCCCTATTAAAACTTTCATGGCTAAATTGGTAAATTAGCATAACTTGGGGGTTGTTTGATATGTCTCTTGGGGGTTTGGTAACTTGGTCAGATTCAGACTATTTGACACCACATTTAGGCATCGTTTGATAGACATCTTTTCAGGTCCAAACAGATCTTTCTGGCTGAGTGAGCCGAAAAAACTGTTTGATTTGCACACAAAAAAGGTTTTTTCCCGATAAGATATGTCTTTCCTAGAAAAACCCAAAAATCATATCTTTCTGGCTGAATGATCATTTTTCATCAGTCAGCAGAGTTAGTCAGATGTACAATCAAACATCATGTTTTTTTTCCTCAGTCAGTAAACTTTCCCAGACAACAATTTCCAAATAGCAACTATCAAACAGGCCCTTAGAAGCCATTGAGTCGGTCCTCTCTCCTCTGAAACACCTCTTACTCGGTCAGTGATGAGATTCAATGATGAGTCTTACTCGGTGAGACATTGACTCAACCTATATATATATATATATATATATATATATATATATATATATATATATATATATATATATATGGTTAATTTTACAGTAACAAAAGGGAGAGAGATGTATGGGATGAGATGAGATACCTTAAATAATGCTTGGAATATTTTTGGAGGATTATAAAGGACAATAATGGCAAGTCTCTCGGGGTAATGAGATTGTGTCACGTTTATGATATCTCGAGCTGTTTTCGGCTGGATATTCGTTGCATTCATCGAATATCCAGTGAAATCAATCAACCAAGACATTTGTTCTTGACCTTCCGGAAGGTTTAAAATCGCGTTCTCTATCAGATACACCAAATGACGCACATTACCCTCACCCGTTTTCGTATTCTACAACATAATTGTAAAATTTAGTCATTACATATCATTTTTTTTTTTTACCTAATGAACTTAATGGAAACATGACTTAATATGAAATGAAATCGTCGGATTTCATTACTTGAAAAACACAAGTATAATTTCTAAATTAAATTATAATTTTTAGAAAACATTTTTACTTTTTTTATACGATTTAAAATAAAATTACAAAAAACAACTATTTTCGATGTACATTGGCCTTAATATGAACAAATCATTTTAACAATGATTAAAATTTAGTATAAGAATTTAAAAAGAGATGGATTTAGTACAAACCTGCTTCCCAGGTCTCATGATGAGAACAGGCCTTCCAAAACGATCAACAAAATTAGCTCTCGAGACTTTACCTGTTTTACCTTCTTCTTCTACTTGTTCCTGTAAAAATAACATGCAATTCCATTAAAAATAAATAGGTAATATACAATTTTTTTTTTTCAATTTATCAAATATCTTTTATTTCAATAAAAAATGAAAGCCATATATTTTTGAAATGATCCCTTATTTTCATTTTAACATGTGTTAAAACCAACATGACTTCTCGTTTACTTATATGACATCATCATACGTACTTAATGAAATAACATCATGCTTTTTGAAATAATTTTTCATTTGCCGTTTTAGGAAAATGAAAATTTATTTCAGAAAGTTACATGATATCATCATATGTACTTAATGAAATAACATCATGTTTCTTGATTTGTCATTCTTGATTTGTCATTTTAGGTAAATGAGAATTCATTTCAAAAAGTTACATGAGATAATCATATGTACTTAATGAAATAACATCTTGCTTCCTAAAATAATTTGTCATTTGCCATTTTAGGTAAATGAAAATTAATTTCAGAAAGTTACATGAAATAATCATCATATGTACTTAATGAATCAACAACTTACCCAACGAATTTCATGAGGTTTATAATTTGATCTCCATTCGAGTGTGTCCTGTAACATCTTTTTAGCTTTTTCAAGATTCCAACCTCGAGCTACCAGATACCTTCTTAAGCATGCATCCGTACAGAATTTCGATGCATGCCCAGAGAGGGGCCCAATAGCAACCCTAAGCTCTTTAATCTGTTTTTTTTATACATATTATTAACATGAATTAGTTTCAATAATTTATAAAATAGAGAGTTTATGATTTTGTGGTTAATTAATAATTACCATTTTTTCATGATCCAAAGGTTCAGCTTCATGTTGGTTCTGACCACGCCATTTTTGTAACATGTTTGTCAATATTAACGATCTGGATCTGCATGGGATGATAACTTTGAATTTAAAAGCCCAATTTGATGCAATGTTACATCACATAACTAATGAATAATAAGTGGTGATTGTAAGTTAAGATATCTAATCTGATTGGTTCGTTTTTTTCTTTATATGTTAATTGGATTAGGGGAAATTAATGAAGATCGCATTTGAGCGATGAAATGTGAGTATCATAAGAGTTGGAGTGTCGTAATGATTAATGCGATTGTTGGTGATTGGGAGATGTAGATTTCATGACTTGTACCAAATTTTGGTTTGTTGTTTTTATATAAAAGGAGATTTGGATGTTTATTTTGAAAGAAAATAAATTATATGATTTAAATAAGAGAAATTAAATTATTTCCTATTTTTTATGCCTATAAATGTTCCTACCCAATAAAATTATGACAAATGTTATCATTCCATATTTTTTTAACTAACTCATTAAGGCTATATTAGGAATATATCAAATAAAATTAAATTGAATGGTGATTCGTCATAATTTTAAAGGGTATGAATAATTGTAGGAATAAAAGGTAGGAGGTAATTTAATTTCTCTTTAAATAATTATAACTAGAAAGACTTAATCATAGGAAGATATTAATATCTTACACTTTCCCTATTCAACACATTTTTTCTTTGTTTACATCTTTTTTTTTAAGAATCGTTCAACCTAAAACTTCATTTCCGCAACATGAATTTTTTTTTTTTTTTTTTTTTTTTTTTTGCTACGAAAATTGTTTTTGAAGATCCTACAACAAAAAATGTAACAAATTTTGATGATTCAGAGTTTAATAACCTTGAGACCGATAATTCACAATTTAATAATATTTTTTTACATCCGAAAAATAGTCAAACATATCAAAATTAATAACAGTTAGAAATCAATATCTATAAAATTTAAAAACAAAAAGAAAAATTATGTTATAAAGTTTAACTATGAATGTTGTCATATAAGTGTTCAAAAATAAATATAAAAACAAAAATAATGATGATTATTCAACTGTTAATGATCAATGTTTAAAAAACTTATTAATTGTTATGAACTTACGATGATGAATAAATGCTGCCTTTATACTATTTTTGCGGGAAAAAAAATAAACGACTACAGACAACAATAAAAACGAAGAATAAGGCATTAATATAAAAAAAAATTAGCAAAATAAGTCGATTAATCTTAACCTAAAGATATTGGCGTGTAAAAATGAAGACGATTTTGAAATACGAATTGGACTTGGACATATTCAAATATACTTATTTCGTAGGGACACATTTGACAATTCCTAAAAATAAAAGTTTATAGCTGAATATAAACGTTTTCTCCACCCACGTGAATAAATATACCGAAATTAATTCTAGTTCCCACATGTTACAAGAATAATAATTGAGTTTCATTGGTTACATTTCCTTGCAAAAGACCATGTGATTATTATTATTTTTTGGTTAGAGTTATTTCATTTTATTTTAAAATTATCAACGGGTTGCACAAATATTTTAAGAGTAAAAAAAAACTTATTTCCAAAGAAAGTTTTTATCACAAAATCGTCTAAAACGACGAATTTACACTTTAGTGTGACAAGAAAAAGAAAATAAAATAAAATAAAATAAAAATTGAAATAATTTAATTGTAAAAGAAGTCACAAATAAAAATAAAAAGAATATAAATAATGGGATAATATTTTATTTTTATTTTTGTTTTATAATTTTAATTTTTTTTTTTTGTAAATTTTAGTAGATTAATAAAATATCTGTTGTTCCAAAATATAGATAATTCTATTTTGTGTTTTTTATTTAAAAATTGATTTTCGATTAAAAAACGAAAAAAAAAATCATTTCAATCCCACTAATTTATTACGTATAGATATTAGATTCAATTCCCATAAATTATACCATTTATCTTTTCAAAAAGATAAGTAGTTAACCTTTTGCTCCGCATTTAGTAGGTAACATGCGTAAAGCATGACTTGTTTATAAATACAAATACGGAATTCAACTATTTTATACAAAATATATTTAAAATTTTGTTATTTCTTTTAATCAACATAATTTAACATAAAAAAAAATAATCTTTAAAATTCCTATTGAATTCTTAAAATGTATAAATTACATTAAATGATTTTAATTAAAGCAAAGGTATGTGTGTTTAACTTTTTGTATCAGTGAAAATACCTATATTAGCACCCAAAATCAACTCGGTTAGGATACAATTAAGTTAAAATAAATATAAAAAATTTTAAATTTTTTTTATTTAATGGAACCCTACTTAATTAGATTAGTATTGTAATTTACATGTCTTATTCTATCAATTTATTGACTTTCTTTATTGAATTCATCAACTTGATAATCAAATGAAAATGATAGTATCCAAATATATGATAGGGAATTCATTTTTTCTTGTAATATACAAAAATGAAAATCATGTGAATCCAACATCTTTCATTTATTTTTCTACAAAAATCCAGAAACACCACTTTTTTGAATTCTTCCTTCCATAAAAATAGTATACAAATTCTCTCTCCTTTTATTTTTCCTTTAAACCACCTTTATGATCAAAAAAATCTATACCGAAAGTTAAAAAAAAAAATCAACATTAATCTAATTATACATTTTCTAGATAACCAAACTTTGAATTCAGAATCTATATAACTTCTAAAGTTGAAAAAAAACCATAAACCGAAGTCATTTAGGGAGTAGAAATTAAATCCAGAGTATACGTTCATAAAACCAAGTCGATTCTTCTTCTAAGTTCTAGCAACAAAACTTTTAACGATCAGAGTGCAAAAACTTAACTAATCTGTGTTCAGATTGAGCATATGAACGCATAACAATATCAGAATCTACACGAGAAACATGAAACTGCAAACAGATCTACCAGAAACTCAAAAAGCGAAAACGATCAACAATCCTAAAACATGAGCGATATCCGATATGAATTCATATAATTCAAACAGGTAATACAATCGGCGAAACTCTGTAACAACATACCTGAGCTATGAAGATAAGAAGGACAATAACTATCTCGTCTTCAATCCGAATCGTAAGATGAGAGATAGACGCTGGAGGTAGAAACAGAAAGGTGATCGGCGGAGGGTGGCGGAGAACAACGGCAGTTTATCGAGAGATAGAGGCGGAGGGAGCAATGGAGTGGTTTGTTTATTTTATGTGATTTGAATTTATAACAAAAATATGGTGAGAATTGAGCAGGAAAAAGGTAAGAAACGTAAGGAGTGTTTGGTTCAGGTTTTCCACGCCCGGAGAATATAGAGCGTGAGAAATGGGGAAAGCGAGACGCATTACCTACTTGTACGGTACAAAATCATATGCATAATGTATAAAGTACCGAAATGGTTCGATAAGGCATGATGGGTCCCACATACTTCCCCACAAATCAAACTCTTTTGGATTTTACTTTCGGTTCCAATAAAAGTTGAGTTTAGTTACAAAAATAGTTCCTGTTGTGTATAAAAAGTTTTGGATTTCGTCGACATGTTGTATTTGTTATACTCAATAATTACATAAAATGTGGTTATATTTTATTTATTTGTATACTTTAAATAATGGTAACCAAATAATGATTTAATATCAGATTCGTTGAAAGTTTGGATTTTGATTTCGGTTAGGTCGCTTGATGAGTGAATAAGTTAGAGCGTGTGACCACACCCAGATGAGTTTGTTTAACTTTATTCATTTACATATCAAGAAAATCATATGATGAGCATGCTTGCTTTTTAATCTATGAATAAGAGCTTCATAGGTGAATCATCGACCACTAAACGTTAGCGGATGCTTTGTGGAGGACAATGTCTTCATATGTGTTCAGGGGCAAAAGGGTGTTACTGGACTATAAAGTTTTAAATTTCAAATCAAATTTTTTGTTTTTTTAATAAAAACGTAATTATTCCAATTTCGTTCTTACGATGGATAAATAATCATTTGTTTAAGTTTGACAAACCACAATAAAAATCAAAATCATAAAGATAGTAAAATCAAATGTGCGGAAGTCTCTACAATATATTAGCAGATATAATGCAATCAAGTCACGCAATTCCTCTTCTTGAAATTCTGGCGTTTTTTTTTTTGAAATCCAAAATTTTAGTCTGGAATCCGAGATGTTGTTTCAGAATCAATCAAAAAAAGTGTTTCTTTTTTTGTCCATAATGTCCATTCTGACCAAATGGTTATTTTTGCTAAAAAAATTAGTTATTTTCTTCAAATACATGTTAAAAATATTAGATTACTGAATTTAAAAAAAAAAACCCAACCACACACTCTTTAACTTTAATTAGTTCTTCAGTAAAAAATTTACACAACCATTCATTCAGTTGATGGATATCATTTATAGGTCATTAAAACTTGATGGATTTCATTTATAGGCCCATAAAAATGTCACAACCATTTTTTATATCATGTCATTAATATATTAATATATAGACTTTTATATCTTATAAATTTGTTTACACTAGCCGACGTTTAAAGATTTATAAATGAGTCGTATCAATTTGTTTGTTAGTTTAATCTATAGCTTTCATATTAAATCACAAAAAAGATGTTTTATAAAACTAAAATATATGCTATAGCGGACTAAATTTTATAAAACCAACTTTCAAATGTATATAGAAAAGCATTTGATAAAACATATTTAATATTTGTCTTATTTTGAACGAGTCGATAAGATCTGTAATCTATTGTCTGACCCACAAAGTGAACTCCTTCTACTTCGGTCTTGTATGGATATTGTTAAACTTTTCTTTGGGCTGAGGACGTGCCAACTCGTCCACATGGAGGAGGCGGCGTTGTTCTTCGATAATGGATTACGCGGGACGATTGAGGACATTGCGGTTTGTGGTGGCCCCTTCTTTGGCGACTTACAGTGACGACTTGCTTCCCTACCCATTCAGTTTGGTGGTTTGGGTTTATACTCGGCAGTAGAGGCTACATCATATGCTTTTGTTGCCTCAAGAGCCAAATCTTGTGTATTGCAAGACCACATCTTACGGGATAGCGACATTTATGGTATGGATTCTGATTATGTTTGTGCCTTAGATTCTCTTCGTAACAAGCTTCCGGACATTGACCTTAGCAGTTTTACTACTAAGGACACCGCCCCCCCTAAATCCCAGAATACACTGACAAGTGCCCTTTTTAGTAAAATTATCCAAGATATGGAAGTGAATTTCAATATGACGGCTCGGCAGAAAGCAGTTTTCCAGTGTTTACGTGCACCACATGCTCAAGATTTTCTTCTAGCTATCCCTATAGATGGGCTTGGCCAACATATGTCTCCGGTGGAGTATCGTACCATCCTTAGATATCGACTCATGATTCCAATATTCCCAGCCGATGGGATATGCCCCGTGTGCCGCAAGGCATGTTTGGACTCTTTCGGCGAGCATGCAGTTCATTGCAAAGAACTCCCGGGGTTCAAATACAGACACGATATGGTTAGAGATGTTTTGGTCGACATATGTAAGCGTGCCAGGATTTCCGCCAAGAAAGAGGCTCCTGTGAATTTCCTGACTGATCCGACAGAAGGAAGGTCAACCCTTAGACCGACTGACGTTTTGATTTTTGGATGGGTTGGAGGGAAACACGCATGTGTGGACCTTATAGGGGTATCCCCTCTCGTAAGTTTGAGGGCTGGGGGTTTCACGGCGGGACAGGCTGCATTAAAAGCTGCTACATGCAAGGTCACAAAACATGAGAAACCGTGCATGGAAAATCAACAAGCATTCATACCATTTGCATTTGATACGTTTGGCTTCCTTGCGCCGGATGCAGTGAAGCTCCTTAGTAGACTACAACGGATCATGCATAGCCATGTTATATCCCCTAGATCTATGGATGTAGTCTTCAAAAGAATTGGTTTTACCATACAAAAGGGCTTAGCGGCGCAACTTGTTGCCCGTTTGCCTTCTCATTCGTTGTATGATGATAACTAAAACATTGATACTATAAAGTAGATTTATATATAGTTTGTAATTATGTATTGTTTTTAAAAAATTAAGCTAAAATATTGAAATTAGTAAGATACAAAATGAAAAATAGTATTACAAGGATGTAATGTATATACATTACAAGAGTATCTCCAATCTCATTTTGAGTTTTGCTAGTACACTTTATTTATAAACTATAAACCAGAGTAAATACTCCAATTCAACTATATTTTAAACTATATAATAGAAAAATGAATAGTTAAATTCTAAATTTGGAATGTAAATTGTACCATCTTCCACGCATTCTATTTTTACGTTTTATTTTTAGAATGTAACATATAATGAGGTTGTAGATTGAATCACTCTAAACTCTATTTTACTATTTAAAAATAAAATATAAAAATAGAATTTGATTTAAAATGATCTAAGACAACAAAAGAGATGTAATATAAATTTAAATCTAAACTAGAGTGGTGGCGGCGGCCGGAGGGATCCAAAGTAAACACCGATTTTCTGCTATGGACCGGATTCATTCTAAACTATGCATAAATAATTAATGGACTGTTTCTTAACATCTTTGGTCCTATGGAACTTCAACATTTAATCTATAGTGAATACTCTAAAAATATATTTCTTTGAACTTCTTACGTGGCATGGCAAAATCCAATCTTTGATATTTTAAAGTCGTTTCTTTGAATACTTGAGGTTATTAACTTAACAAATTCATACAATATATAATAAATTGTTAAAAATATAAAATAAGTTAGAGTGTCTTCGTCTATCATAAAAACCATCACGATTATCAAGTGTGATTTAATTTAAAGGACCATAGAATGACAAATTTTCTTTTAGAACGATATGTCATTTCAAAGTTGAAGTTTGTATTATACGAATATGAGGTAACTCTTTTTAAATGTGTAATTCTCAGATGATCACTGCTAAAACACATTGATGGTAACACCCAAAGAAACAACACGTTTGAGGATATTCCTGAGAAATATATAAGCCAAATGTAACTTTAAATAATAAATGACGTTTTAACATTTTCAACATCAATTTTTTTTTATATATCTTCTAAAGTAGGTTTTCTCGGGTGAAGCTGATGCAAACTTTTACATTTAGAAGCAAAAATTGCATTTCGGCTGTCCATTTATTCATTGTTGTGTAGGTCCATAATGACATAACTACAACGAACACCATTATAATGTTAGTACATATATAGTACCTATAAAACAACACCCATCTAATCTAAATAGTAATATTTATAATGATTATGGCTTTACGTATGGGTAACACCATATTATCTAGTCGTGTCAGATAATGAACTTTCTTGAGATGTAGGTAATCACATTCATTTATTACTATATCATATTTGAAAATTGAAACCAATTCACAAGTATCTAACATATATATATTAACACATAGCTTTCCTTATACAAGAGCAAGGAACACGTAATTTAGGGTAAATTGCATCAAGAGCATCGAATTTTAACAATTTTATCAAAGTAAACAACATTAACTTTTACTCACAACAACAACCAACTTGTATTATTCAACTACTTTTGGCAACATTGTAACTAGAAACCCGATACAGTTGATATCGTTGATGTACTGTCACCTCGAATAGTAGAAAACCCCACTCTTCATTCACGTTAGAAGCTTCACAAAAGTTAATTCCTGATAGTAGAAAACCTCACTCTGTATGGCATTAGACCCCACCTCATTTATTGAATGGATCATGCTATCGTCCTTTGTATTCAATTTTTCATCCACCCTTTTGAAAGCTAAGAACATCGAGATTAATTCCTTTGGGAATTGTCTTCAAAATCATGGTATAGGCACTATCTGGGTTGCCCTATTTCACTGTCTAAATAAAACGCCTCCTCCTGATCAATAAATGTGGTCGTTTCACAAGTATGCCATAGAGAGAAGTCAAACGAAGTTAAAAAAAAATGCAAGAAACAATAATGTATCTTTATTAATTATATATTTCTACTGTTACAGTATTTTTATTTTAAAAGAAAAATCTAATTACAACAATGTAATCTAAATACAAAATAATTTTCAAATTTATCATCATACCTCTAATGTTCTGATATTGTGCTCCTCATCGTATGAGAGGTAAATGGAGCATGGAACACCAAGAGTTATATATACTACATAAACAAAAAAAATTATGTTATTATTTTTTATATTTGATCTTAAAAAACATCAATCTTTGGTTCAAATGGAAAATACCGATATGAGCTTGGAATTTTCCAAAACTGATTTTTGCAAAATTAAGAGAATTCTTTGAAACTTACCATTCAA